GGAACTGGAGAGGGAGGAGGGGGATGGGGGCGCACTTTTCCCAACTGGAAACTTACTTTACAATAAATTATTACTATTATTTCCTTAGTGATATATTTCTATAAAAGCCCCCCCATTCTATATAGATTGCATTGTCAGGGAGGAAATCTCCTGAAAGCTCTGAAGTAAGGAGAAACCGGTGGATAAACAACAGTGCAGTACCCAACTCAGGGATTTTTTTTTTTTTTTTGGGAGCCAGTCCCCATTGTTCAGATCCCTCCTCCTTGCTTGGGAAGTGGGAGGACCCGAAAAGGCGTTCCAAAAAGGGAGGAATTGTTTGAGAACTCAGTCATCCAAAAACGGCCTTTCAATGCGAGAACTTGGGGAGCCGAAGGAAGAAAATGTCGGTGGCATCGCAGTAAATTACTAAAGCTTTGGAAAGAGAAGAGTTGGGGGGAAAAAAAGCGGAAAGTCTCTATTTTACTTTTTATATTTATTTCTCAAATGTTTTAAAAGAGAACATCAGAGGAGAAGCGAGGAAGAAGGAAGCGCAAAGTTACAACTAGATCTGGTGAGTTTGTGCCTTCATGCGCTCCGAGCCGCTGCGGCGCCTGCAGACATCTATTACCGATTTATAAACACATCCATCTACTTTACTGCATCTTTCCTCTTTCTGGACTCATCCATGAACGATTGGTCCACATTCACCGAGGAACATCTCCAGCTTTCCACATCTCAAATCTGTATGATAGCCGCGTTTGTTTTGTTTTGCGTTTTGGACAAAAATCGCGTAAAACCTCCAGACGGTCTTTATAAACACCGCCGGTGTTTGGATATAGAGGAGGATATCGGTGTATGATGACTTCCTCTGTGTCATATCTGCTTATTATGAGGGGAATTAACTTTGTTGTCGGGCTTTAGCTTGTTGTTGATGGGATGATAAGCCTGCGCTTCTGTTATCCAAACTATTTTCCTCTAAACTCCTGCGCCTATCTGCGATTTATAAAAGTGCAATATATGTTTAAGCAGCACTATGGTCCCGATGTGACACGTAACAAACTCCAGTAGGGGAGTTTTTAGTGTTTTTTTCCGCTGGGAAATGTGTGCAGGTTTTGCAGGCCGCAGCCTATAGTGGTTCCCATAGGAAGGCATTAGGAGCTGAGCCACATTTCCCCCCATGGCACCCAAAGGAAGAATGGGGCTCATGTGTCATGTATTTCTGTCCTAAAAAGCACAGAAAATAAAAGTCAAGGAAGGTTCCAATAAGTTAAAAGTGTAAGTATTTATATTATTGGAATTTATTAAATTGTCTCCAATGTATGGATAGATAAAAACAGTTTTTCCATCCACCTATGTGCCTATAAGTCTATATCCCTCTGTTCCTTTCAACATTTAGCTTTTTCAAGTAATCTGAAGAGGCTTTAATCTAACTGAATTTAATTTAATGATGCAGAGTTTGTTGCACTGCAGAAATGTTGAAAAACAAAACTCTAAATCATGTCACCAACTCTTTATACACCATGATAGCAGGATAACACCAAACCCAAAATATTGCATATTTGCACCATATATTAATGCTCTGAACTTCCATATCAATGTATTTTTTTGCACTATTTTTTTTTCTGCTACACTGTTTACATTTGATACCTGTTGCACTTTATGAAATGGAAATGTTATTTTACTAGTAGCCATTGATAGCTGTTCAAAATTAAATTAGTTAAATTAGACGAATACAGACGAATACAGTTGTCTAAATCTAAAGTCAAGTCTAATCCAACCTATTTGAGAAGTTTCTCCTAAACTTCTCACTTTCCAAAGTGACTTGTTGTATTTATACTGAAACGGTTGGTTAATAAGCGCACAGTGAAAATTATGACTGAAAAGAGAGTTTTGTAAGTTAAATTACATGTTATTATAAAATATCTTGTATCTTGCAGAGGAACCTATATGCCTAAAATAAGGGTATTTTTAACACTTTGTACCTCTCAGTGTTTCTGCCCTTATGCCAAAACAGGCCCACCTGAGCACACCCCCTCCCCCTAAAGTGTCAGACCCCATTAAAGGCTTCTAATAAACTGGCAGCTGCTTGAGCTGCCTTACAGGAATGTAGGTGCTGTCAGTAGAGCCTGTCCTCATAACATCCTCTTATTCAGGTCTGATTTAATGAGAAAAAATGTTGGTCAGTCCTCCAGGCTGCTAATGAGTGTTGGCCAGGAAGAGCAGGAGGTGAAGAAGGCCCTGCTGGAACAGCCGCAGGGGCTCAAGTTTCCAACCCCAGGTGTCGTTTTGTGATTTGGATTACATTTAGCCTCCACCGCCTCTTTACATGGAGGGGGACCTCTGTAATTCAGTGACGGACATGGCATTGGACAAGAGGGCCCGATTGTTCCCACTGAATCAGTGTCACTTGGATTAAAAGTCGAAACGAATGGCCCGGCCTCCCCCAATTAGGCGCCGAGCCTATAAGGGAATTAATTGGTCTCAGTAAAAAGAAGAGAGTCTTGTTGTTCGGTTGTGGGGTTCTTGTTGTTTTTGCTGATCATGTCTGACAGGCGGGCGGATCAAAGTTGGAACTAAATGATTCCAGTCTGATTATCTGCCTGTTTTCTCACACAACTTCAGCCTTTTGATTAGGAAGGAGGAGCGCTCTGAGCTCCTAATCAGCCCCAGAGCCATTCCACTTCCAAAGCCACTGTAAACTCAGATTTATTACCATCATTTAATTATTTATCATTTTCTAAAAGCAACATATTGATGTTAACCAAGTCAGAAAAATAGTCTGTTTTCAGTTTTTCTAACCAAGTTATGTTGTCACATAGGCTTATTTCACCCATCCGTTCCTGATTTAAGTAATCTGGTGATTTTCCCCCTGGTTTTACTCAAACTATGTCTGATGGCTTTTGGGAAAAGAAAGATTGTAGTTCAGTGATTCAGTGAGTGTTTAACCTAGATGTTTTATCTCTTTAAATATGATTTAGAAACTTAGCAAAGGTGGAACTAAGAGAGGGTGGAATTAGATACATGTGGGTGTGATCACATTAAGTCAGCCTTAACTTAAACTGCATTTTTAAAGCAGCAAAGTTTCTGCTTTTAGATTCAAAAGGAACATTTATACAAGGGTCTACGTGCTCTATTTAAAACAAGTGGATTTAGGCTTAAAAGTCAGCAGCTTTTTTAATCCAGCAACTTAAGCCCTCAGGCTAACTGAATTAACATACCGGTAAATAGACACATAATAATTTTTAATGAAGGAAAA